GCAGCCACAGGGAGCCCCCAGGCCTGCCAGGGATGCCAAGACCCCCTCTCCTCGGCGGGGGGATTAGGCGAAGCTGGCGAAGGCAGGCCAGCTCCATCATCTGCCCCCTCCCCCAGAGGTTGAGCTGGTGCAAACATGACCCAGAAGCAGGTCACTGCCATAAGGCTATTTTGCAACAGGAATGTCAGAGGGGCCCATCTGCCCCCGCCGGGGGCTGTGCGGACAGGGGGCTCGGTGCCTCTTAAGCTGCAGAGCCCCTTCCTGATCCTCCCCCCTCCCCGCGCTGCCCCAGAGCGAGCCCTCCAGCCCCAGCCCCTTGAGGTGTGCAGAGCCTGCACCCAGCCGGATTGAGCCCAGAGCAACTGCCCACAGCATCTGCGCAGGCAGGGCCAGGGGCCGCCTCCCCAATGCCTCCGCAGGGTGCTGCCCTGCACAGCCCCGGCCCCCCGGCTCCGGTACCTTGTACCCCCCGATGCGGTGGTCGGGTTTGAACTCCTTGCCATTCTTCAGCCAGCGCAGCGTGGGGTTGGGCGTCCCGCTCGACGGACACTTGAATTTCACCGTTTTGGCAGCGGGGACGGCATGGAGCTTCTTCTCCATCTTCTCGGGATAGGTCCAGTAGGGAGCAATGGCCTCTGGGGAGCAGAGTGGGGGTGCTCAGCACGGCCGGCACAGGCTCCCAGTGAAACCCACCGGCCAAACCCGCTGGGGCTTCAGCCTCAGGGAGCTCCAGCATTTTGCTCCTGGTTTAACCCCGAGGATGCCCAGGGCAGGGCCGAGCTGGGAAGCCAGAGAGGTGCAGGCAGCTGACCCTGGCTCTGGCAGGGAGGGGAGCTCCTGGACATGGGGTGTTATCCCGGAGTCACAGCAGCCCTGCGAGGCCCTTTCTTTGCGAGGTGAACGCTCAGCATGTGTGGCTGCAGCAGCAGTTACCTCAATGTAGCCGTGCCAGCACATCCCCTAGCTCTGACCAGGCTGCTTTGCCCGGCTGCACCCAGACCTGCTCCCCCCGCTGAGCCCTCACCACCGCCGCGTGCCCTGGGCTGGAGCGGGAGCCCCTGCCCATCCTTGCCTGCCTTTCTCCATCCCTGGGCGATGCTTGCAAGTGTGCCCAGCTTCCCCTCGCCCCCCCGCAAAGGCCAGGGCAGCACCACGGGCAAACCCATCTTGCACATACGGTTCGGCTTGGTGTTATCCGCCTCCTTCTCCTCCGAAGAGGAATCATCTTCGTCATCATCGTCCTCTGCGGAGGGGAGCGCATCTGGAAGAGAAGAGACGTCCCAGCTGAACATTCGTGCACGGACCCTTCCTGAGCGGGGCCAGTCAGGGAACCATGGGCTGGTGGCACGGGACTGTGCCCAGTGGGGCGGCCGGGGCAGGGCAGCGCTGATGCACGGTGGGGAGGCGTGGGGATCCCAGGTGAACGCTGTGCATGTCCACCAGCACAGCCAGGGCTGACAGTGCCTGCTGCCCCGGTGCTCACAGCCCATGGACATCATGGAGCAATTTGCCCCCAGAGGTGATTTCAGAGCTCCGCGCCGTGTGTCCAAGCACGGCTCCTCACCCCATGCCTGGTGCCACCAACCCCCCCGGGGCAGCAGCCGAGACCCTGCAGGCACAGAAACGCCCCAAGCCTCGGCAGACACCTCCCAACCTCGAGCGTTCGTTCTCCTCCAGCCTCGCACCCCGTCAACACCAAGTGGACCTTGGCTCATGCCCAGCACGTGCCCACTCCTGCGGGCAGCCCCGCTGCCCACCCAGCCCCGTGCAGACAAACAGGCGACACCCCCCAGCCGCTTCTCCCTGCACCGCAGCAGGCGGGAAGTCACTGCACTGTGCCGGTAACTCCCCCGGGCACCCCCAAATCGCAGGTCCGCCCCGAACTCACCGCGCAGCCTGACAGATCCGCGCATGGCCGGTGCACGTGCCAGCGAGCATGCAAAGGCGTGCAGAGACAGCCTGCTCCTTGCTCCGCAGCCCGGCCCCGGGGCTGCCCCTTCCCTGCGTGCCCGGGGCCGCTACGAACCTGAGACGTTCACGGAGAAGTAGGTGGTCTCGCTTCCCGAGGGGCTGTTGGTCATGCAGGCATAGAGCCCCGAGTCCTCGGGCACCGCGTCCCTGACCTCTACCTCCTCCCCGGTAATGCGCGTCCGGTTGTTCTCGGTCAGCTGGACGCCGTTGCGCACCCAGTTGATGCTCTGGACGTCATCCCTCAGCCGGCAGCGCAGCTGGAGGAGGTCACCGGGGTGGGCCGAGTAGGACTCCACTTCGATTTTTGCTTTGGGCAGAACTGGAGGAGTTAGGAGAGAGAAGAAGAAAAAAAAAAAAGGAGAAAAGAAATAGAGACCAAAGGAAACCATGCTGCTGCTGCTGCGGCTCTGTGTTAATGAGGCAACATGCGCTGCTGGGATGCTCCTGCGGCAGCACCGAGGACCGGCTGCCCCAGCAAGCCCAGGGGAGGGGGAGCCGGCAGCGGTGGCTGCAGAGAGGAGGGGAGGCAGAGGCAGAGGCTGCGAGCACCCTAAGCAGCACCAAGCGCTTCATCCCCATGGTAGGACCCACGTGGTGGCCGGGGAGTTCAAAAGCACTTGCGCACCCCTCGGTCTCTTAGTAAGCACTGCTCGGCCCAGAGGGAGCCTGCCACGGCGGGGGTTTTGAAATGGGGGAGAAACGGGCAATTTGAAACATCCCAGGCAGTGCGCGTTGCTTGGGCAGGATATGGCCTCTCCCAGGAGCATCCCAAATCCCTGCTCGGCTCTGCCACTGCGCAGGGGTCCCAGGTTCCCCACCACCACGAGCGGGCAGCCAGCGAAGCGGGCCAGGGTCCCCACGCCTTGCCCCGGTTAGAGCGCTTCAAGGCAGGGGCAGGAAGGCCAAAGGGATGAGGGGGCTGTGCCAGGACAGCAGGCAGGGGAGCAAGGGTCTGCAAGAGCGGCACGGCTGGGAAAGGTCAGCCCAGGGGAGCTCCGGCAAAACAGGTGCCGGCCACGGCGTTCCTGTTCGCAGCGACCCAGGGCAGGGAGAGCCGCAGCTGCTCCCCGATGCGACATTTGTGTGAGCAGCACAAAGATCCTTTCTCTCCATCCCGCTGCTATGTGATCTTGTCTCTCCTCTGGCCCTGGTAGCGCAGACACGGCTCTGTCCTCAAGCGCTGCCCTCCACCCTCCGTGGTGGTGCACGAGTAGCTCTCTCGGTCCTGGGCTTGGTGCAGACGACTGGGTTTCAAACCATCTCTTCAAATTTCGCGGCCCAAGGAAGGGTTCAGGCTGTTGCAGCTCCGTGGGCGCTGAGGCTCCCTGCGACGGCGCAGGGCGGATGCAGCATGAGCATCATCCCAGGAACGAACACCATGGGCTGGTGCACACGGCTCCGGGTCCTGAGTGCGGCTGCAGGAGCAGCACGGAGGGGCACACGGCGCTGCTGCGGACGCTGCTCTCGGGGGCCAGAGCTGCTCAGCAGCACCCTGGAAGGAATTTCCACTGCACCTCTGGGCCGGCGGCAGGCCAGCTTCGGGCGGGCTGAGGGCAAGAGCCAATGGGGGGCACGGCCGAAGGTCTCCACAGTGCAACTGCTCTGTATCACAGGGGTCCAGAGCGGGGGCTGGAAAATCCCAACAAACCCTGCGCAGGCAGCCCAGCAGAAATGGTCTGGAAACATTCAAACTTCAGCTGATCCATGGCTCGAGGGCTGTCCCCCACAAAGACCGAGGAGCTCAGCGGGCACGCAGCCCGCAGGCACCGTCCTCTGGCCATGGGGGCAAGAGCAAAGCCACAGCTCTCCCTTGGGACCCACGCAGCCCCCAGCGAGGAATGTGGCAATTTGCAAAACAGCGACTAATTATGAACACCCACAACACCCGAGAGCGCGTTGGAGGGGCTGTCTCCCTGCAGAGCTAACACACGTTATCACCCTCACCTCTTGGCGCCTATCAAGCCAGACAAGCGCAACATCTTCCCCCCTCCTCTGCACACCCCCCCAAACAGCCGTGGAGCAGCTCGTCCTGGGCCCATCAGCTGCCGAAAGCCGGCACAGGGGCTCTGCCTGCACTGAACCCTCCTGGTCAAACATCCCCGAGCTGAGCCAGCGCAGGCAGGGAGCACAGGCTGGCAGCAAGGGGCCGGGGCCATCAGCAAGGCACCGCTCCTCCCAGGACCCACCAGCGGCTCCGTACTGCCAAAAATGAAAGCTCAGCTCTCCAGAAAATCTCGTTTACCGCATCGTGATCCGCACTTCGCTTTCTGGCCACTTTTCTTCTCGTACTGATGAGAAGCTTCATGAGGAAAACATCTACAAGCAGCTTGAGAGTTTCTCCTTTTCCTTTTGCTTAGCACTTGAAGGAAAACAGCATACCGGGGAAGAATTCACTTTCCTCAGCTGCTAGAAGACCAAAAGCCAGGGCTCCAGATCCATGAGTAAGAGGTTACAAAGCGTTTTAATGTGGAAGGTGAAGACTGGTGGGAGTCCCTTAGGTGGCGGGGGAAGGGTCTTGCTTTTGCAATCCTGTTTTCCCCCTGGTTTTCTCTTGCAGCCTCGCAGGACAGGCACTTCTAGTAGCGCTGATTTGTGTTTCAAGTGATTAGTCACAGGCATCTTCCAAGGAACACAATGCAGCAGTGATGTCCTGTCGCCGTCCGTCTGAACACCAAGGGACTCAGTAACACAACGTCCTCCTGTCCATCCTGATTCCCTTCTCAAACAGAGCAAGGTCAGCGAGCAATAAGCAGCCACAAAAACCCAAACCAACACGAAACGCGGAGCTGAAGCCACAGACATATCTGCCCTTATCTCGCTCGCTCCCTCCACCCCCCCTGTGCTCAGGTCTGCCCCTCCCCACGCACCGACATTCCTTATCAAACAGAATAACCTGCAGAAGGTGGCTGGAGCTGCTGAGGATCCCCACCTCCCACGAATGTCCCTGTTGCCTGTCCTTGGCCACCCGCACGCTGGCACACGAGGAGCCCTGTACAGGTCCGGGGTCTGGCATCCCACGGCCACGGTGCCGAGGCGCGGCAGGCACTGCTGGACCTGCAGGGTCCCACCACGCTGCAACTGAACCAATGCCGGGCCAGCGCAGGATCAGTTCTAGGCAGCAAAACACCACTGTGGTCCAAGAGCTCGTACAAGTCACCTCCTCACCGTCCCTGTCCTAGGGACCGCCATGGGCTCCTGCCCATCAGCTTGCCCAGAAAGGTCTGCAAGAAAACCTGCCCGTGCTGGCGCAGGGAGGGAAGCTCCTGCCAGCCCCATGCTCCGCAAACACCTCTCAGCTGGACCTGCAGACTGCGGAGGAGGTGGCCTGGGGTAGAAAAGGTCTTTGGAGGGAGGGAAAACTTTGAGGCACCCCAGTCTGACACCGGGGCTCAGGGAAGCAGCGTCCCAGGCTCAGGCAGGTCCCTTCCCATGGGCACAGCATCGCGTCGGTCCCCGGGCACCCCGTGCAAGTGCCACCGCTCCTTCAGGCCACCGAACCGCAGGCTCTGCTGCGCCGAGGAGCCCGGGCAGGCGGGGGCCGGGGGTCCACCGGCGTGTGGCCAGATCGCCTTTCAAAGGCAGCAGTCCCCTCCCCCAGCCCCTCCGAGTCAGAGCCTGTTTTGCATTAATAGCATGACCGGGGAGGCACGGAGGCGTCGAGTGTGATGGACGGGAGAGAGGAGGCAGAGGGCAAGGCAGGATCCTGCCCTTTGGTAACCCAAAGCACATCTCTGGCACTCAGGGATAAGGCGGAAAACACAGCATGGTGGGAACGGCCTGAAAACGAATTCACAGGCTAATGAGCATGTCCAGGTTAGCTCACCCTCCGGGCGGGAGCGGGGCTGGGCCAGCGCGCGGGCTTGGACAATGCTGCTGCAGGGCGGCCCTGGCAGGCAGACAGTG